TTTTTAATGTGGCTACTAGGCCATTATGAGTTGGAATCGACTCAATTGTAGATTGTACATTTCTTACTAGATATGTTTAATTGCATGCATGGTTCACACTTGTGACTTATATGACATGTTTAATTGCATATATGGTATGTATGCAATGCCTACATGTTTTTATATGACATGTATATTTTTACTGGACAGAACTACCTTCAAATCACATCCACTGTCATCCTGTCAATCCTGACTCACAGGGACCCTGTGTAGGGTTTCTGAGATGGTAAATCTTGACAAGAACAGGCAGCCTCATTTTTGTTCCTTAGAGCAGCTAGTGGGTTTGAACCACTGACCATGTGATTAGCATCCCAACACCTAACCCACAGCACCACCAGGGTTCTTTAGCAGCTGCACCCTTCTGGGCCCTGGATGATATGGAATGTAAGGGATTAGAACCAGCAACCTGCCCACTGTCTGCATGTCTTGGAGAAATCACTGGAACGTATGTATCTGTGTATGTCAGAAATATGTACTGTTTTTCCAAAACATGCAAACAATCATATAAGACAAACCTTTAAGGCCTCACAAAGCTATTTGGAGGATTCAATAAAACACTGTAGGCAGACCTCTCCCATGAGTAACATGCCAAGCGCTTTGCATGCTTTTATCCTATTGGACCCTCACAAATCCCAGAAAATTAAGACAATGATCTCAATTTGTTTCCATTTTGTCAATGAGGAAAGGGACACAAATGTGTCCAATAATCTGCTCTCACTCGCCTAACAACTGTATTGTTCTGTCCCTGGTGCTAGAAGCAGTAGCTGTTAAGTCATAGCTGTATTGGGACATGCTCCTCCTTCCAGTGGGACTCAATTTCTCCTTCTGTAAGATGGGGAAGGGTTGGCTAGTGGGCAAGGCCGATGAAGCTCTCAGTAGTACGAGATTCTTGGCACATTTCAGTGAACCTCTGATGCCTTCCTTGTCCATTTTGTGGGGATGAATGTGTTTTTCTGTTTGTTTTAATAACACTGGTAGGAGCTTTATATAGTGTCTATGTCTGCTTACATTAGACGCTGTGTATTATAGTTAAGAGTCTGTCACCATTTCCCATATAAACCTTGTTTTTTTATGGGTTTGGGAGAGTTCAGCTGTAAAAACTCAGCTGAAAAAAAAAAGTTGTTTTCAAACAAACTGGGTTTAAATCAGGAGCCTGGCTTCAGACACTTCAGAGCAAGCATATTTTTTCTTCATGGTCACTTTTCATGTAAAAATGAGGCTGGCTGATTCCTTGCTCTCGTTTCTTTTATGAGGATTGAGCAAGACTGCAAGCTTAACTGCTGGCTGCGCAGAAAGAAGCACTTCAGAGCCTTTTCCAAGAGCGCTGGGCCTGAAACCAGCAGACAGACCCATCTGGACCCCGGCTCAACCTCCCACCAGCTGTGTGACCTGAGCCGAGCCCTTCCCTTCTCTGGTCTTTCATTTCCCCACCAGTTCCCAGGGAGGACAATGCTCGATCTGGCTCCCTACAAGGGGACGGGGAGAAAACTGCTTTCAGAAGTGAAAGGATCCAGGAAAGGTGAATGCCAGAGACCTCTGCCAAGAAGAGCATGCTGCGCTTCCCCAGTAAAAGTAGAGCCCTGACACATGCGTGTGACAGTCAGGAAACCCCGAGAGATCACAGAGCCTCCTTTGCAGATAGGACCCACCCTGGTAGGCACCACGCAGAGCTGTGGGGAAAAGCAGGTCTGCACAGTCCACTGCCCCCGGCCTGCCTTCTCCCATCTCTGTGACCTTGGACAAAACCCTTCTTTAGTGAGGCTTCAATGAAACAATACCTGTTAAGGGCTTAGAAAGTCTCCTAAATAAAATGTACCTGCTGGTGGTTGTAATTATTTCACGCATTAGCAGGTTTTCAATGTAAAGAATAGAGTACATTGGTTGTGTGGAGTCAAAAATGCTTTCAGGCAAACCTGCCTATTAGGTCCCTCTCCTGTTCATCATCTTCATATCCACCATGCCCCCTCACTCCCTGGTGGGCACTCAGTAAGCATGTGCCTAATCACAGCATCCTGGAAGTGCACTGCGACAGGAGACCATTAATTTTAACGGCAAAAGTAGCCCTCAATTTTTAAACGTTAAGAAAAATCTAAATAAGCAAAAGTAAATGTTGGAACTATTCTTTCGATGAGCCAGAGGTAGAGTGTTAATGCTTTCAAAACCTATCCTTCCACTTTGTCTTCGTATTGTTATTTATTTCTACGAGTTAGGGTTTTGCCCTGTTTTGTTTTTACATAAAGTGGATCGCAGTGTTTAGTAATTTTGGATAATACACACACACACTTAGTATGCCACGAACAATTTCCAGGTCATCCCCCACATTATTTCCCTGGGCCAGGTAGGAGTCCCCTGTATGAATGAATTACTTATTCTGTTCCTGTCCCAATGGATCCTGGGATCCTTTCCCATTTCTCATCCTGTGGCTTAAGTCTTTGCTTTTTTTAAAGGTGTTATTTGCAATTCACCCACATGTCATACAATTCAATATATCAAGAAGAGTTAGTTGTACAATTATCACCACATTCCCTTCTAGAACATATTCTTCCTTGTACTCATTGTTAGTCATGTAATTTTTTTTCTAATGGTGGCAAAAATATACACACAAAAAAAATTCTCTAATTCCACTTGTAGTTTAAATCTTTGAGTATTTTCCTGAGGGTAAATTCCTGAAATTTGCTTTACCTAAGCCTGGGACCAGATTTTTTTAATGCCTTTATTTATTTTATTTTTTTGCCTTTAATTTAAAAAATAAGGATGATGACACTCTCTCTACCACAGCCGTTGAAGTTTCTGACAAACAGCATGGAAACTGTCGTAGAGCATAGGAAAGCAAACGACAGGCTCTTAACAATATTTTCAAAGTAGGGAGGGGCCCTTGTATTTTCCCCGGAAGGGTGAACTACCCGGACTAGGCTTTGAGAGCCCAGGGGCAGAGGGAGAGCACTGATCTCAGGGTCTGGGGACCCTTTGGGTCCCACTCACAGGGCAGTCCGGCGCTCGGCATTGTGCAGTGTGCACTGGGAATATAGTGGGGACTCACCGCTATACTGCGGCGGCGGCGGCGGGGAGGTAGGAGGCTATCCAGGCGACGTCCAAATAGGGCACGGGCCACCAACCTCCACTCCCAGGTCCCGCCGAGACGGGGATTGATTTGGGGCTCCGCCTTTCTCTTACCAAAGAGGGCTGGGCGGCCTGGCAGCATGAGGCTTCCTGCAGAGGCCTGGTTCCACCACACTTCCCTTCCCTTTCACTGGTCAGGGTAGAAGAAAGCAAGACCTGGGTGTGCATTCTTCCCGTGCCTAGGATACTTCACGATGCTAAAAATAGTCCCGGGATCTGTGCCTAGTGGCAGTCAGAGGCTAGTCCGAACATGGCTGAGCCCTGGGTTCGAATCTAGACATGGTCCCTACGTGTGGTGGGACATCGATGGAAACCTTCTCAGTTTCTCGACGCGGGTCAAGATTTCTTAAGGGATTTCCCAGGACGTGGAAATGTGGAAATGGGGGCGGAAGGAGGGCTTGATTTTTCTTTTGCACGTCTCCCTGAGGGCTTTGGGGGGCTGCGGAGCCGGAACGCAGCAGCCTGGGGAGGTGTGCGCAGGGCCGGCTCATTACCCAGAGGTGTTGCCCTAGTTAAATCTCAGGTCTGTTTGATCCGGCGGCGGGTGGCAAACGGAAAAAAAGAAAAATGTAGGAGGGTCGGAGTAGAAAGAAGCTAACACTTCGCACACACACACACACCCCTCGCCGTTTCTCAGCGCCCATAAAACACCTTTTATTAACTCTTTCGGGTCTGGAAAGGCCCGCGTGGTGCTCAGTCCCTGCCACAGTGTTTATAGCCGAGACTAAAGGGGCCCCGTATGCCCCCCAGGCCCGGACAAGGCGCCTAGGGCATACCAGATGCCCCTCGAGGCCAGGCCCCGAAGCTCCATGGGGTGTCCTTTCTCCGCTCAGTCTCGGGACGGACGCCTGCCCGCTGTACGGGGTCTGGGGGCCAGCTCCCGCCTTTCCTCCTTCGCAGTGGGCGCTGGAGACAATCACCGGCCCAGCAGTGGGTGAGTGCCGGCAAAGGATCGCTGGAGCTAGGCGATTAGCCTAGCGCCCAAGTCTAGTTTCCTGTATTCTTTTTTCTCCGGGAGCAGCCCCTTTATTTTAGCCCAGCAAGCACCTCGAGCCTAGGTAAATGCGCCCACATTTAGACACCACCCCAGTCTGCACCCCCGTGTGTGCGCAGGTGGGAAGGGGCAGGGAGACTGGCGCTGGAACACAGTTGCCCGCGCACCCAACCTGCCCCCAAATTGCACAAAACCCATATGCTCTAACAAATATTTGTTGAAGGCTCTGTTGCTGGAGTGATACCTAAAACATCTCTATTCAACCACACATACTCATAAGCTTAGTTCAGTCGGGGTTAAAATAAACAGCTGCTAATATGTGTAAAGTCCCCCCACCCCCACCGCCATGGGCATCTGTTTGAACTACACAGACACCTATTCTGGTTGGACCAAGTCCAGCATTTCAGCCTCTCAACCCCTCTGATGCTGTCCATTTATGTGATCAGCCCTCTTCTTTCCTAACAGCCCACCACACGCTCCACAGCAGGACCGTTTGTGCGAGTACTCACTGCAGGGCACACGCGAATACCAGCCCACGCCAATCCCGGGCAGGGCTCTGCGTGTCTACTTCGTATCCAGTTTCCATTTCCCCGAGGTATACTGTGTCACCATTTAATGGTAAGGATCACGTAGTGATTCGTTCCAGAAAAAAATCTTTCATCCATTTCCTCCCCTTTCCTGGGTTGCCAGTACGATTGGGTGCTTCTCAAAACAAAAGAAGCCAGCTGAAGATATGGACCTGCGCGACCCCAGCCGCAGACATCACACAAGTTTCCTCGGACTTGGGAAAACGCGGTTTTTATTAGTCAAGAGCATAGATACTGCTTTGGTTAAGGTGGGGGCGGGGGCGGGAGGGGGGACTGTGAGTGGTCATATAGATTTGAGGTAGAAAAAGGGTGGGAACAGGGATACACACACACCCGAGCGCTCCAGGCACAGGTAGGTAGGTAGTTTAAATACATAAAAACTTCCCAAGGAGGGGGAAAGTTTTTATTTACAATGAAAAAAAAAAAAGCAAACTTTCCCTTGAAACTAAGTAGGAAGTGCAGCGACAAAAACAAAACAATGTAATATAAAAATACCCAGGTTCTTGCTTTTGACTCTATCCCGGGCAGAAAACGATGGGTTGGTCTTATTGCCTTTTCATGAGGGAAGAGGGCGACCCGAAGCTGGAGGAAAAGCGGGAGAGTGGGGTGCTTGAGAGAGAGGGCCAGACAGGGGAGTTAGGAAGACTTGAGGATTCTAAATTCGCCTGTGTCAGAGGGATGTGTAGATCCCCCCAGGCTTCAGTCCCGAAGTCCCTCTCTCCCTCATCCTGCCTGTCAGGGTTGTCCTCTCGGTTAGGGGAGTGGATATATATATATATATCTTTCTCTTTATGTATTAAAAAACGATTTCAAACTACATTGCACGTGAGATCCAAGTGTGCGGTTGCAGACAACTCGGCAGCTCGCAGCAGAGGCTCCGCGGGATGTATCCCCGCAGGCTGCAGGGACCCAGAGGCTAGCCTTCGCTGCTGCCTTCCTTTCTTTGCTGGCTCCAGGATGGACCCACAGTGGCCGGGCCCTGGGCGGGAGCCTGTGCTCACTGGTTTAACTCCAGCGCCCAGACTTGCTGCGGCCAGCCGGTGCGCCCTTTAATCCTCTTCTCCCCGGGGCCCAGAGCAGGAGGAAAGCCGTCATGCTGCTGCTGCTGCTGCTGCTGCTGTTGCTGTCGCCGCCGCCGCCGCCAGCGAACATACAAATACACAAGAAAAGAGTAGAGAAAGAATATTAACTTTCAACTCCAACAGCCGGAGCTGGAGGGACGCGGGGGTTTGAAAGTAACTGGGCGCCTTTAAATAAGTGACAGATTTCGGTTTGCAAAATATGCAAACAGACTCATAAATTTGCCCTCATGTGCCTAGTCCCTTTCTCTGTAGCCGGGATGGGCTGGGCAACAGCAGCTAGTTTGGTTAGGAGAATTCTCCGTGTCAAGGGTGGGGGTGGGGGTGGGATGGGGGCTTGGGGGTCGGCAGAGGACTCTCCAGGCGCTTCACACCCACCGAGAAAAAAGGAGGGGGGTGGATCTGGCCTAGAATCTCCCCCCACCCCCACCCCTCAGTCCTAGCAAGAATGGAACCCTAGGTCTAGGTGCAGGAGTAGGGGTCGCCCAAACCACGTCTACTCAGGCGGTTTTAAACCTCGATGCTATCTCTTTCCCAGGCTAGGGAGGGACACTTCCCAGGTTTACGACCGCCCCGGCGGGCAGAAGAAACCTGTCGGGCTTTCCAGCGGTCTCCCAGATGCGGGCCTGGAGTGCACTCGCCCACCTGGCCCTGGGGTAAATCGTCTCCAGAAGAGGTTCCGTGCCCTTGGGCTGTCGGTATGGAGCGTTCCCGGAAAGGGGTAAGGGCTCCGAGCCCTAGAGAGGGTGGAGAACCGCCTAGTAGTAGGACTAGCAACCCGCAAAGCAAAAAGAGGGTGAAGCTTGCCGGTCGGCTAAGATTCCCCAGGAAACCACCTCGGAATCTTCCAACACCACGGGAGTGATGGATGGTTTTCCAAGGAGAAGCAAAGACCTGGCTTATTTTACACCCCCCTCCACTCCGCCTCTGACTGCACGGGTGAGTCGTCTTCTCCTAGGCTTGTCCTACCCTGGGCAAATGAAGGTGGAATGGCCTTCTCCGCAGAGGTCCTCTGGAAGTAGTAATAAGCCCGTGCACAGAAAGTCGCACGCAGGCAAATTACACTAGTGAGCTCCGCCAGGCGTTGTTCCTTCCAAGGGAAAGGTACTTTGTACATTTTCGGGGACCCACAGCTTTGGGAGGTTCTTAAATGGGGCCCTTACGATCCCCCCCTCCGAAAAGATTAAAATTGCATCTGCACTCAATCGTATACACTCGATCCCACAATACCAATAAATTACAATACCCCTCCGGACAAAATATCACACTGTGCGACCAGCTCAGAACTGCCGAGTTTCTAAACATCGTGCGCACCACCCAATCTTCTCCTTCCGCTACTTGCACCGCCGCTCCCGGGTGCTCTCAGCTCCGGGACCTCTGGCCGAAGCGCGCCGGCCCCGAACTTACCAGCTCCCTTTTCCTCTTGCTCTCGCGGCCGCCATCGGCCTTCTTGAGCTCAGCCTTGAAGGCCTCCGGGTCCCCGGCCTGTGCGTCCTTGGCCAGCACGTCCATCAGGTAGGCGATGTAACTGGTGGCGAGGCGAAGAGTCTTGATTTTGGACAACTTGGTGTCGGCTGGCACGTTGGGGATGCACTCGCGCAGCTCAGCGAACGCGCTGTTGATGCTCTCCGTCCGTCTCCTCTCTTTCTTAGGTCCCGAGCCTTTTCGTCGACCCAGGCGACCGCCGAGCGCCTCCAGCCGCGCGGGGCTCTGGCTGGGCCTGGCCTCTGGGCCGTA